AAACAAAGGATGGGTTAGGTGGGGCTGTCCCTATATATACAAGAGCTGAATATTAAACTTTGAGCCTTGATCAGAGAACTTTGTCTTGGCTCCATGTTTTTCTTGCTCCTCCATCTCTTTTTCATTTCCAGCCCTCCTTTCAAGTTAATCCAGTTCGTCCATAGCTGCTGGACGGCTACCCTTAATTTAGAAGGGAATATTATTCCCTTCTAAAATCTCTTGAACTGAGTCTCCACAGAACTCATTGCTTTCAGCACTCTTTTACAAGATCCCAAGACAGCTCATTACACTCTGCTTACAACAGGCAGCCACTTTTCTAATCTTCCACACTCCTCAAAAAACAAACAAACAAACAAACAAACAAAAGTCAAGTTCTTCACAGTATAACAGCCCATTACCTGGTACTAATGTCTACCTTAGTTACTTTCTATTGCTGTGATGAAACACCACAACCAAGGCAACTTCTAGAAGAAAGTTTGTTTGGGCTTACAATTTCAGAAGAGTAAGAGTCCATCATATCTGAGAACATGGCAGCAAGTGGCAGGTATGGCGGTAGAAACAGGAAGCTGGGAGCATACATCTTGAGCTACAAGTATGAATAGAGAGAACAAACTGGAAGCAGGTAAGGCTCTTTAGTTTTAAAGCCCGCCCCCAGTGACACACTTCCTTCAGCCAGGCCACACTGCCTAAACTTCCCCCCAAACAGTGCCAACAGCTAGGGACCAACTGTTCAAATACCTTAAACTATACTAAGAGGGATATTTAAACCACCACTGTGGGATAGCACAGTGATAGCCTGCTGCCCTAATGTATGTAAGTCCCTGGGTTTGATTCTCAGAACTGAAAAATAAAAATAAAAATAAAAATTCAAAAGTTAATGGTATTTCTGTGCTAGGCAGGGCTCACTAGCATTTGGTGTTCTTCAGGACTGGGCAGAACTTCTCTCTCCACTCTGCTGTTGTCTCTGAGTATGAAAGGCCTGGTTCAGGGGTGCTTGTAGATGGTGGTCTTTGTAAAGGAGGCTGTGTGCCCTGAGAGTGAGTTTCTGATGCCCAGTGGAGGGCAATGAGTGTGGAAAGTCTGTCGACTTCCATAGTAACCATCCCACTGAATGACTCAGGCCCACTCTCTACTGATGGTCTGGGTCTACTCCTCTGCCTTAGCTCACACTCCACTCTTTCATACCTGGGCCTCTCATCTGTGGACAGAGGAGGGAGTTAGGTCTCTTCCACTGAGTTCTTACCCTTACCTATCATTATCCTGTAAACCTATTTATTTATTTATTTATTTATTTATTTATTTATTTATTTTGGAGATAGAGTCTTCTTTGTTTTGCTTTGTTTCAATTAATTAATGTATGTATTTATTCACTTACATCCTGACAGCAACCCTCTCCCCCCACCCCCCGAGATAGGGTTTTATTCTGTAACCCATACAAACTGGGATTCAATTCACTATGTAGTGCAGGCTAGCCTCAGACTCATAGAAAGCCTCTTGCCTGAGACTTCTAAATGCTGGGATTATAGGCATGTGTCATAAAGTTTGAGGCTAACTTCCATAGGGCCTTCTATTTTACACCTTTGGGACAGAACTATGTCTTCCTCTGCATTATTTATTACAGCAAATTCTAATTCTCTCACAGGCTACAGAAGACTCAGACCACGAGGAATCTGTCCTCATCTTGGCTGCATCATTGGAAAAGTATTGGAAAGATCACTTCTTCCTGGTAACATCATTTCTTCCTCTACAAAACAGGGAGACAAAATTACCTAAGTCATGGAGTCCTGGGCTTTTAAATGAGATAATGCATATAAAATGTTTAATAGAGAGTTAAACACAAGGAAAAGGTTCAATCTGAAAACTTAACCAGGCACATGAACCCAAGAGAGAGAAACCTGCTGTGTTCATGGAGTCTGATGACAAATTTATTAAAAGGTTCTAGCCAATATTTTCTCAAAACTATAGTCCAAATCTTTAATTTGCTTTTAATTTCCATCAAATTATTACCTCTGCTTTGAAACACTCCCTCTCAGTGCTGTGCTGTGACCTCTGGTGTGAGGTCATGGCATGATGTCACAATCTACCCCCAGCTCCAACCTTGAGACTCTCTTGTGGTGATTCTTGAACCCGTTTGCTCTTTACATCTGAGAGATCTCGAGGTATTTGGTTTCATTGGAGGTTCTCCTTTCTTCTCCCTTTGCATCTCTAAAGGGCATGTATTTCATTTGGCATCTATTCCAGAGTATCTCACTTGGCTAAGACCTGAAGATTCTTGTATGCTCGGCCTAGAGTCCCAGATCTGCAATCTACTTTTTTGGGGGTTGGGGATGGGGTCTGGGGAGAAGGATACAGAATGAGAACACAGAGCTAATTAGATCATTAGAAGCACACTAGCTTGATGGTCCCCAGGAGTAAAATATTTCTGTGTTCTGTTTAAATGTCAGGACTAATGCTATGTAAGTCCCCTCTTGTTTAATCAAGATACAATTCACCTGTACTAAAACATTAACCCTTTAAAAATATACAATCAGCGGTGTCTAATACATCCACCAAATTGTGCTAATTCTACATTATTCTATTCCTCAAAAATATTAATGGTAATATCCCAAATCTTCCTGCTAACCACTGACCTAGCTGCTACCACTTTGCCTACTACAGACATTTCATATAAGTGGGAAATTATAAAATGTGGCCTTTGGTATCTGACTTCTTCCACTTGACATAATGTTTTCCAGGTTCATCAGTGTTGGAGCACGTATTTGTATATTGTTTTAATTGCTGGGTAATAGTCTATTGTTGGATATGCCACATTCTATTCATTTATTGATAGAGTTTTGGATTTTCTCTTTTTAGTTCTTGTACACATTGCTACTATGAACATTTATGATAGAATATTTATGCAAATATTTTTTAAAGTTCTCCTGAGTATTATACCTATGAGAATTATTGAGTATTATTATAATTCTATATTTAACTTTTCTGAGGACCAGCCAAACTTTCTATAGTATGAGTTGTCTTTTTACTTCCTTAGTAAGGTCCGTTGAAACACAAATATTTCTAATTTTTATAAATCTAATTTATGTTTCTATTATCTTCTTTGATTTCTTGAAGATCCGGCTCCCATATTTATTTCCTAGAGTTTTATGGCTATGCCTCTACCATTTAAATATCCGGTCCATTTTAGCTGATGTTTGTACTATGCTATGAAGGGATGTAATTTTAAATCTGGCTAACTATGTCAATAATAATTGTGGTTTTTAGTAATGTATTGAAGCTGAGTCTCAATTTTCTGTGTAAAAGAGACTAGCAAACAGAACCCGAATAATAAGGCTTTGGTAAAGAGCAGAAAAATGTACATATAGCTCTAAGCACAGTGCTTGAAGCCTCCAACTGCTCAGTAAATCCAGCAGTTAATAAACGGAGTGAGTTAATGAGTTATTAAGGGAAACATGGGAAGATGGATGCAGCATTCACCTCAAGGTATGAATCCCAGCTCTGAGATTGATTGTTAAGAGAATCTCTGCCCCTAGGTAGACCGTTACTTAAAGTTCACGTTTAGGGATTGATAAAAACTCTCGCTATTCACAACCTGTATTTGTACAAATTTGCGGGTTTGAAGCTTGCACATATGGTCGGGGGAAGGAGGGGGGCGGCTCCTGCAGCGAGGGCCACGGCCTGTAGAGGGCGCGCAGGAGCCAGCTGCACTCAAGGCGGCTGCGCAGAGCCTACCCTACGCCGGCATCCGCCCCTCTCAGCTGACAGCTCTGGAGACGGAAGAGGCGGTGCTCAGGTGGTGCGGGTTGTCTGCAGGCCTGGCCAGCAAGCGGGTTGCGAGGCCCCAGTCAAGGGCATACTGTGGAACTTTAGGGCCCGGCTCGGCTGAGCGGCCGGAAGGTACGGCGGGGAGGCGCTGTGAGCGCGTGAGGCAGAGCCGAGTGGCCGGGCCTGCTCTGTGGACACCCGGCTCCCCTGCCTGGGCCGGAGCGGGGCGGCCCGCTCCGTGGGCGCCGCGGGTACAGGGCGGGGCGGATGGGCCCTGCGCCTCCGGTACGCCCCGGGGACAGTTCCTCTGCGCCGTTGCTAGCCCCGGGCCTGTAGCCCTGCCTGATCCTGTTCGGTGTTGCTGGGGCGTCGTACAAACGCGTCTGCATGGCGATTGGCAGACTGCGGGGAGAGACCCGGGCCGACCCCAGCGCCGGAGCCTGCAGGGAGTGGCCGGGAAGATGAATAGGATTTTCCCAAGCTAGGGAAACCTGGCGGAGGAGGGGCTCCACGTCCTGCTGGAGTGGCTTCCGGTTTGCAACAGTAGCGTAATTAAATTTTGTCTGGTGTTGCTAGGGTTTATTCTTGTTCCCGGTTTACAGGTGACGAGATTACGCATTTTATGCCCAGAGACAGTCCAGAAAAGAGCCCAGGCTGTCATCTGTCTATTTTTGATTAATGAAGTAGTAATAAGACTTGCTTCAGGTGGTTGTGGAGTCTAGCGTCAGTTAGTGCATCGAAAGGCCTTAGCACAATGCCAGGCACCGGTAAGAACCTACTAATTGTTACTGTTCTTACCAGTGTTACTGTGACAACCGTCCCAACTTCCTTCTAGGAGTGGAATATGACAAAATGGTCACTGACTCCTGTGCCCCCGGTCCTCCATTCCTGCGCATTGCATTTTACTCCAGGTATTTTCCCAGTGTCCAGAGCACGGCTAGATGCTAAGATAATAGGTAGATGGAAGAGACTTGGGGCTGTTACGTAAAGGACTAATGCAGGCTAGTAGGAGAGGAAGTGCAAGGTTCGTTTTTAAAGAAGACAGTGTCTGATGGGATTACTGTGTGGAGGTGGGACTTTAGAAGTCGCCCTCAAAGGCTTAGTAGATGGACTCAGAGGAAGCTAGCAACCTGGCTTAAGGGCCACAAGACCCAGCCTTTGGATAAGTCATAAGAGACTGTCAAAGGGACGTGTTTTTTGGAGTAAGGATTATCAGCCTGGATCTGTACTTCTTGGAAGTCTGCTCTGACAGCACATATACTGAAATTGAAATGATACAGAGATTATTAGCAAGGCCTTGTGCCAGAATGACATGCAACTTCATGAAGCGTTCTGTAGTGTGTGTGTGTGTGTGTGTGTGTGTGTGTGTGTGTGTGTGTGAGAGAGAGAGAGAGAGAGAGAGAGAGAGAGAGAGATTGATTGTGGGGGTAGGTTATGCAATTAGAAAGGAGACGAGAGGGGGATAGAGATTTTTCAGGAAGGGAGGGGATAATAGAACACATGTGACCTGAATGGGGAGGGGGATGGGTACAAAAGGGGATTCAGAGAAAGGGGGAGGATTTTTTTTTTTCTTTCGAGTTTTTTTGTTTGTTTTGGTTTTGGTTTTTCAAGACAGGGTTTCTATTTGTAGCCCTGGCTGTCCTAGAACTCTGTAGACCAGGCTGGAACTCAGAGAGATCTGCCAGTCTCTGCTGCCTGGGTACTGGGATTAAAGGTATATGCCACTACTGCCTGCCTAGGAATTCAAGGCTAAATGGGGAGGAATTTGAACAGAAGCAAATTATGTATGAAAATGCTGCAATGAAATCTTTTTGTAGTCTGATTTCTAAAAAGTTTTGGGGGGTGGGAAGCTAAACCCATTTTTGGTTTAAAATGTTATCCTACCTTGAGAGTTATGTTACCTGCAAGGTTAATTTATGAGCAGGTGAGAATAAAAGCCAGAGGGGATGGGAAATAGAGGCCCGACTTAATTGATCTTGAATATGGGGATGGGAAATAGAGGCCCAACTTAATTGATCTTGAATATGGGGATGGGAAATAGAGGCCTGACTTAATTGATCTTGAATATGACCTGGGTATTAGAATTTTGTTGTTTGTTTGCTTGTTTGTTTGTTTTTTCAAGACAGGGTTTCTTTATGTAGCCTTAGCTGTTCTGGAACTTGCTCTGTAGACCAGGCTGGCCTCGAAGTCAGAGGTCCACCAGCCTCTGCCTCCCAAGTGCTGTGATTAAAGACATGTGCCACCACAACACCACCTGGGTTTTGGAATGTCAAAAAGCAGTTTCCTCGAGAGATTCTAATGTGCAGACAAGATGGAGAATGCTAACCTAAAACCATGAAGTCAATAAATACATCTCTCGTATCTGAAAATTGTTTGTTTACAATGAAACAAAAGGCTTAATCCTATCCTCACCATGTGCTACTTTCTGGTCAGATTGTTGAAGATTCAGTAAGGTAATGTGATCAGACTTAGTACCATACACATTTGGTGTTCTATAAGTGTAAACTAATTAGGATACTAATTATGGTATGGCTTATTTGGGAATCATTTCTGAGAATATGGTCTAAAAATTAAAGTTTTATGTAACATGTTTACACATAATTTCACACTTCATAACCCACCTGTGGACCACACTTCTAAAAGTAAGCTCCAATTTAGAGGTCACTCTCCCACTGAGCTACAGCCTCCGTCATGGAGGTCTGGCTGTAAACACTGAGTAAATCTTCCAAGCTTATGTGTGTATGTATGCCCTTGTTCTGTTTTAAAATGTTTAATTTCAGAGTTAACTATCTCACTTGCGAGGCTAATTTATTAGCAGGTGAGAATGAAAGCCCGAGGGGATGGGAAACAAGGAACAGAAGTAGAAGAGGGAGGGAGAAAGCAAAAAACAAATTTAAGATACTCCTTGGGCGTGGTGTCCTGTCATCTCATATAACCACCCTAGTTACAGAGTTGAGGACAGTCTGATAAGCTGTTATTACTGGGGAACATGCAGTTGCCCTTTAACCATGTGACTCAGTCTGTCCTGGGAGAGTAATACTACCTGTGGACTAGGGTTGGTGTGTTAGTGTATGACTTAAGTCATGATCGCACAGAAGGGGAGTTGGGATCTGGAGAGGATCCTCACACATCTTCCCTGTTTCTTTTTTTGCAGATGGCAGAATTTCTGTAGTATATCGGATGCAAATCCCACATCTTGGTTTCTTATCCAGCTTCAGTCTAGCTTCACTGGCTAGAAAATAAATGGGATTTGCACAAATTCCAAGCCAAAGTGAAATACAGATTGCAGCATTAATATCCTTTTCTCCTGGTTGTTACTAACAGGTATTAAGTGACCTAAAATGGACCATGTCTGTGCTTTACACAGGGCTAAGCTTAAGCAGTCTTAACAACTGCTTAGGAAAAGCAGTAGTTTTTTGAAAATGGAATTGTTTCAGGTTTAGAAAAAAAAAATGAGAAGAAAGAAAATGGAATCATTTAAACAGCTTTTCAGACTTTGTAGCATTATCTTTTAGAATTCAAACTATACTCTGACTTTTGTTTCAGACCAGCTCCCATTTCAGTAGTTGTAGGGAGCAACGCAAAGTTGTTTTTCTGGATTAGTCATTAGAAGCACAGCAACCAGCTGTTAGCTGGGGAGTGCCTGCGGATTTAGCAGAAAAGAGAGTATGGATAAGTCCTTTACAGCTGTTTGTGAGGAAGTTTTATATACCAGGAAACTTCTCCCATTATGTGTGTTTCTATTGTTAACTGATTTGAATGATTGTCTCCAATCACCAGCTGATTCAATGTCGTCAGAAGACCTAGAAGCCCAGGAGGATGAACTACTGGCCCTGGCAAGTATTTATGATGCAGATGAGTTTAGAAAAGCAGAGTCTGTCCAAGGAGGAGAAACCAGGATCTATTTGGATCTGCCACAGAATTTCAAGATATTCGTGAGCGGTTAGTTAATAATATCTTATAACATAGCTTTTTCCTAAATAAAAATTATTCTTGACTTCTTATTATACTTTTCTTGTCATTTGTGTCTATAATCCTAAGGGATTATTGATAAGTATCAGTAGCACAGATTTAGTGTATTTTCTGTTTTAAAAGAAAACCGGGGGGAGGGGTGTAAAAGTTTTCGATTTGATCCTGCCTTTTTGGCCACGGAATTGAGATAGCCTATATATTTTATGCAGTGAGTCTTCTAATTAGCAGTTGATCAGCACAGTCGTTGGATATCGGAGGTAATCAGAGAAAACGGCTGGTAATGTGTAGCTGTGAAGCGTCTTGGAGCTCCCTAGAGTGCCACGCGGTTGATTTCTGCTTGATTTCTAGAATCGGGGCTTCAGGTGTGGGACAGGTGTGGGACATGCTGTTACTCTGCCACTTTTTGTTGGAGAAAATCAAAACTGTTTGGTTCATTTGCAGAGACCTTGATGCACATTTTCTTACAATGTTTCTCTAGAAGCTGAGATCACTTAGATGAACCTGTGGCTGTGTTGTGTGCCGTGTTATGTCCTCAAGCCTGATATTATTTTGTTGGTACAAACTTCCCGAACCGATTAATGACTAATTGGCATGTGCTGGTCTTAGTAAGTCATAGTTGTCTCATAGAAATAAATGTCTTTTTCTCTAGATTGTGTCTTTGTCTACTATAAATCAACAATTAAACAAACATTGTTTATGACTTGGTCATTAGTGTTAGGAATTGTACTGGGAAATGTTTACAAGAATGAGTTGTGTGACTTTATACATTGCACGGCACCTAAGAGGATTTTTCAAGGGCTTAAAAGGTGTTGTTTTGTTTTAGTTTTGAAGGCAGAGACTAGGAAATTAACATTAAGGGATGGAAGGTACCTCGGGGAGGGTTTTTGTCCCCTTTACTAAAGCTTCAGGGCTGAGCACTGCGGTAGTTTTGACACTCCAGTGTTGATCAACTGATCCTTTCTGATTTTTGTTTTTGGTTCAGGCAATTCAAATGAGTCTCTCCAGAATAGTGGCTTTGAATACACCATTTGCTTTCTGCCACCACTTGTGCTGAACTTTGAACTGCCACCAGATTATCCATCCTCCTCCCCACCTTCATTCACACTTAGTGGCAAATGGCTGTCACCAACTCAGGTAGACCCAAAACTTAATTTCTCCTATCCATTTTTAGAAACTTTAAAAAATCTTTAATTGAAGACTACCTTGGTGATCTGTAATTCAGTGCATAAAGAACAAATGGCTTTGATTTTGTAAATTTTCCCCCTAGTGTTCATGAATCCTAATGCTAATGAATTGAAAATGCTTGATTTTAGAAGAATGGCAGGTCTGGGGATGTGGCTCAGAGGTAGAATTCTTACCTCACATATGCAAGGTCCTGGGTTTTAGCCTCAGTACTGGAGAAAGAAAGAAATGGCAGTAAACAAAACTTAATTAATCCTTATGAATTGCAACAGTAATGATTTTTAATCAAGTGTATTGTTTTTCCTTGAGACAAAGTCCTCTTTATTTTCCTTAGATAATGGTATTATTTTTCTTAGTTTCTTATTCATTCCTTAAATGAAAGATTTAATTGTAATCACAGAAGATAATTGAGCTATATTGCTATAATAAGCAAATTTCTGAATAAATGTAATAAATGCTTCTCCATAAATTCTGTGTGTTAGTAATGGGTAATTGTCCCTTAGCTGTAAATGTACACTAATAGAAAGGTGTGTGGGTCTTGTGAATACTTTCTTAGACTTGATCCCTTATGTTGAAAGCAGCCTTTCTCTCTGTGCTGTTTATCCTTTCCTAATAGAATCAACTCCTCTATTAGTAGGTAATAATTGTACATATTTATGGGGCCAAGTGTGATATTTCAGTTGTGTACAGCATGTATTGATCAAACTAGGGTAATTAGCATTTCTGACTCTGTATCATTTATGTCTGGAGCCACCAAGCGCTCAACTTCAGTGTTTGATTAAGACATAAATGTGACTTGAAGCTAGTATAGTGTTCTGAGATGTGATAGATCAATAGCTACTTTTCTTGAAGTTATGAAGATCAATAAGCTAATATTAAAACAAAAGCTGTCTGTTGTTGACCTCAGGGAATAGCTTATTAGTCTTCCCCTTTAGTCATACAGTTTGATATGTTTGTTTACTTTTGAAGATAGAGTTTTGCTACATAGCCCAGGCTGGGCTAAATCTCATGAGGCTGCCTCCCTCAGCCTTCTGAGAGAACTATATATGCACAACAGCCCACTTGATTTTATTTTATAGTTTTTGTTCTCCCACCTAATTTTTTCTGTAAAGATACCTTTGCAAAGATTTAAGGAAAGGAAGTTAAACTTTAAAGGGATAAGTTTGTATGTAGAATAGAAAAAGATAC